GGGGTCAGGACAGAGACCAGGACACAAGAGGGGTCAGGGGTCAGGACAGAGACCAAGACACAGCAGAGGGGCCAGGAGTCAGGTCAGAGGGGAGGGGCTGGGGAGTCGGGACACAGGGGAGAGGCTGAGGGTCAGGATGGAGACCAGGACACAGCAGAAGGGCCAGGGGTCAGGACACAGGAGAGGGGCCGGGGGTCAGGACACGGGGGAGGGGCTGGGGTCAGGAACTAGCAGTAGCCATGGTGTCCACCTAGAGCCGTGGTCACAGCGGTGTGTGAGAGTATGGGTGCCTGTGAGCAAGTGTGTGTGAGAGCTGTCGTGTGTGTGAAGGAGCAGGAACTTCTGTGTGCTTATGTAAGAGAAGGCGTGTCTGTGTGTGTGACAGCAGGCGTGTCTGTGTGTGTGAGAACAGGCGTGTCTGTGTGTGTGATAGAAGGCGTGTCTGTGTGTGTGACAGCAGGCGTGTCTGTGTGTGTGAGAACAGGCGTGTCTGTGTGTGACAGCATGTGCGTCTGTGTGTGTGACAACAGGCGTGTCTGTGTGTGTGATAGAAGGCGTGTCTGTGTGTGTGACAGCAGGCGTGTCTCTGTGACAACATGTACGTCTGTGTGTGTGACAACAGGCGTGTCTGTGTGACAGCAGGCGTGTCTGTGTGTGTGAGATAGAAGGCGTGTCTGTGTGTGTGACAGCAGGTGTGTGTGTGACAGCAGACGTGTCTGTGTGTGTGATAGAAGGCGTGTCTGTGTGTGTGACAACAGGCGTGTCTGTGTGTGTGACAATAGGCGTGTCTGTGTGTGTGAGAACAGGCGTGTCTGTGTGTGACAGCATGTGCGTCTGTGTGTGTGACAACAGGCGTGTCTGTGACAGCATGTGCGTCTGTGTGTGTGACAGCATGTGCGTCTGTGTGTGTGACAGCAGGCGTGTCTGTGTGTGTGACAACAGGCGTGTCTGTGTGTGACAGCATGTGCGTCTGTGTGTGTGACAACAGGCGTGTCTGTGACAGCATGTGCGTCTGTGTGTGTGACAACAGGCGTGTCTGTGACAGCATGTGCGTCTGTGTGTGTGACAACAGGCGTGTCTGTGTGTGTGACAGCAGGCGTGTCTGTGTGTGTGACAGCAGGTGTGTCTGTGTGTGTGACAGCAGGCATGTCTGTGTGTGTGATAGAAGGCGTGTCTGTGTGACAGCAGGTGTGTGTGTGACAGCAGGTGTGTCTGTGTGTGTGATAGAAGGCGTGTCTGTGTGTGTGACAGCAGGTGTGTGTGTGTGACAGCAGGCATGTCTGTGTGTGTGATAGAAGGCGTGTCTGTGTGACAGCAGGTGTGTGTGTGACAGCAGGTGTGTCTGTGTGTGACAGGCATGTATGTGTGTGTCTGTGTGAGAGCAGGCACATCTGTGGGTGAAAGCAGGAGTTATCTGTGTGTGAGACAGCAGGCATGTCTCTGTGTGTGTGTGTGAGACAGTACATGTCTGTGTCTGAGACAGCACGTGTCTGAGTGTGACAGCAGACGTGTCTGTACGCATGTGCGTGTGTGAGCATTACCATGCGAGAGTATGTGTGATGTGCACTTGTGTGCGCACGTGACTGTGAATGCATCTGCACATCTCTTTCACATCCCACTGTCTACTTCATTTCCCCATACAACACTTGACATCTTTCTCGAGGGAACAGATGTAAAAACTCTCTTCAAAGATGACAGAGATGCTCCACTCGTGGACATCCCCCCGTCAGAGCCTGGGCGGGGCCTGGGGGTGGCTGCTCCCGGCATTTTCACACAGGCTGTCAGCACCCTAAGGTCAGAGCGGCCCGCAGGTCCAGCTCTGGGTTTAGCAGGCCAGTTTCCTCAAGGTCAGCACAACCCTGAGTGCATAACCGAGGAGGTCCCTCAGTGGCCCTGCTGCACACGCGGCCTCAGCTCTGAGGGCCAGAGCCTGGCTGCGGCGGGAAGCTGCGGCGGGAGGCTGCAGAGGGCAGTACGAGGCACTCACCTTCAGCGTCGGGCTCGGCTGAGTTGACCACACTGTACAGCAGGTTCCCGTCCCCGTTCTTCTTGAGGTAGCCCATCTGCAAGGGATGAACTGTGATGAGAACTGAGCTCAGCCAGTGCACTTTCTCACACACAGGCACCATGGTCGGCAGGACAGACCCAGTGGTCCTGGGCAACTCCTGGGGGCAAGGGCTCCCAGTCTCCGCTCAAGACCAGCACGCAGGGCCAGCTGACCCCGGGCATGGACCCTGGCATGAATCCATGTGCAGCACCCAGAGGCAGCTCTGCAGACAGCACACAGCATGCTGGCACCAAGCTGTCGCCCACCAGAACCTAGGTCAACCAAGCCAACTCCTGCCCTTCCACGCACCACGAATATAACCAGGCCAGCGGAGGGTGTGTGACTCAGGACAGCAGGGGTGATGGGTGGGTGGGACAGTGAGTATGGGTGTAAGGGCAAAGAAGACAGTGTGAGGGCCAGGAGGGACAGTGGGAAGGGGTGAGGACAATGGGAAAGTGTGTGTGTGAGGACGCTGGGACAGGGTGTGTGTGAGAGGACACTGGGACAGTGTGTGTGTGTGTGTGTGTGTGTGTGTACATACACCAGGGAGAGAGAGAGAGTGTGTGTGTGTGTGTGTGTACACACTGGGACACTGTGTGTGTGAGGACGCTGGGACAGGGTGTGTGTGTGTGTGTACATACACCAGGGAGAGAGAGAGTGTGTGTGTACACACTGGGACAGTGTGTGTGTGAGGGCACTGGGGACAGTGTGTGTCAGGGCAAAGAGGACTAAAATGTGTGAGGCTAACAGGGACAGCGAGCTGTGAAGGGCACAAGCGTGCGACAGGAAGCAGTATAGGTGCTGGACTGGGGTGTGATGACATGTGGGAACAGAGGTGGCAGGTGGCCTGAGGGCAGGATGGAGGGTGAGGACATCTGTGTGAGGACAGAAGCAGCGTTTGGTTGAGGGTGTGAAGACCTCTCTCCAGGTGATCAGAACCAGGGAGATAAGCAGGTAAAGTACAGGAGGAGCTGCAGGCATGCATAGGGCTCAGGTGCTCAAGGGGAAGGTGGTCAGGGACAAAGGAGTGTGCAATGCCCACTCTGGCTCTGTGTTGAGAGGTCAAGGCAGGGCCCATCACAAACAGGTCAGGAAAGGCCACACAAGGGTGAGGCTCTGGATAGGGTGAACTTGGAGCCTGAGCAGAGATGAAGCCACAGTGAGAGTTGTTACCTAATAAGATGTCTGCACACACGACACAGTGCAGATCCGTGTGTACACGACACAGTGCAGGTCTGTGTGTACCTGTAAGTCTGTGTGTTAACACTATCTGTACACGACACAGTGCAGGTCTGTGTGTACCTGTAAGTCTGTGTGTTAACACTATCTGTACACGACACAGTGCAGGTCCGTGTGTACATGACACAGCGAAGGTCTTTGTGTGTACACGACACAGGGTAGGTCTGTGTGTACATGACACAGGGTAGGTCTGTGTGTACGTGACACAGTACAGGTCCGTGTGTACATAACGCAGTGCAGGTCCGTATGTACACGACACATTGCAGGTCTGTGTGTACCTGTAAGTCTGTGTGTTAACACTATCTGTACACGACACAGTGCAGGTCCGTGTGTACATGACACAGCGAAGGTCTTTGTGTGTACACGACACAGGGTAGGTCTGTGTGTACGTGACACAGTACAGGTCCGTGTGTACATAACGCAGTGCAGGTCCGTGTGAACGTGAGGTGTGTGTACAGGACACAGTGTAGATGTGTATGTACACGAGATGTGTGTACATATGCAGTTCCCGTTTATTTCCTCCTCATCCAGGTGTCCCACCACCTGTGTTCCCCACCCACTGCTCAGCCCATTAGCTAGGTGCACCCACTTCACTCGTGTCCCCAGCATCCACAGGCCCCTCCCTCCTCCTCCATTTCCTCCTTATTTCCTTCAGCTCATGACTCCCTCACGGGTTTCCCACTCAGCCAGGTGCCCCCCACTCACCTGTGTCCCCCTTCAGCTCTCTCCCCCATTGCTAGATGTACCCGCTTCTCCTGTCCCCCACAGGCAGGTGTCCCACCCTCACCTGTGGCACTCTTCATTTGTAACACCCCCTCATCGATGCCCCCCCATCTGTGTCCCCTCTTGGCCTAGTGTGCCTCCTACATGTCCCCATCACCTGTGGACACCCTCAGCCAGGCGTCCCCCTCCTCACCACGTGCCCTCACTCATGTCCCCCAGCATGTGCTGCCCTCACCCATGATCTCCCCACACATCTCTGTGTTCAGCTAAGGCTCCTTCTTGCCCGTGATCCTCACAATCAGGTGTCCCCACCCTCACGCATATCTGCCATGTCCCTCCCTCAGCCAGGTGCCCACCCTCATGCATGTCACCCCTCACCCGTGTCCCCCGAGCCAGCTATCTCCCCTCAACCGTGACTCGATGCCCAGCTACATGGTCTCCCTTACCGCCATCCCCCGTCCTTGTCCCTCTCACTGTACGCTTTCCTACACCTGCACGAGCCTCCCCTCAGTTCCACAACGCCCGCTGGCTGCTGGCCTACCTTGCTGCCGGGCAGGAAGCGGTTGACCCTGTCTCGTGCCTCGTCGGCCGCGTGCTCCACCAGGGCCAGCACATGCTCCTCGGCAGTGCTATCAGTCAGACTGCAGGCGTTGCCCTCTGGCTCAAAGACACAGCTGCTGCAGAGAGAAGACAGCGACACCCCGCTGCAGACCTGGAACCCCACACTCACCTCTACTGCAGACAGAGGTCAGTGGGATCCCGCTGCGGTCCTGGAACCCCATACCCACTTCTACTGCAGAGGACAGTAGGACCTCACACCCACCTCTACCGCAGACAGAGGATCCTGCTACAGACCTAGAACCCCCACACCTACCTCTACTGCACTGACCACAGGACCTCAAGTACCCTACGCACTACCTCTACTACAGGCAGAGGGACGTCGAACCCCCAGTGCAGACCTGCCCTGCCCACCCATCTCTACTGCAGAGAGTATGACCAACCTGCCCCATTGTAGACCTAGTGCCCAACCCACTTGCCTCTACTGCAGATAAAGGGGCCATCAGACTCTGGAGCAGAATTGGTCCTTCCGCCCGCCCAACCCCCCTACTGTAGACAGAGTGGCCGCAAGACCCCCGTTACAGATCTGGCCCTCATGCCATGCCCCCCTACTGCAGACAGAGGGACTGTGAGACCCCCAGGACAGAACTGATCCTCATGGCCACACACCCCTACGGCTGACAGGACTGTCAGACCCTCAGTATAGACCTGGTCCTCCCATCCACTCCTCTCTACTGCAGACAGAGGGGCTGTCAGACGCCTGATGCAGACCTGGTCCCCCCACCCACCCACCCACCCGCACCGCAGAGAGAGGTACTGTCAGACTCCCTAATGCAGACCTGGTGCCCCACCTGCCCACTTACCCACCCTCTCTACTGCTTCCTCGGCCACTCTACTCGGAGACCCTCCCTCGGCATCCTGTCCGCTCCCATCCTCAGCTGTAAAAGCCACCAAGGAGCAAACAGGACAAGCCACAAAAGGAGTGTTTCTCCTCCTCAGGCTCAGTGTCTGGTTAAGGAGAAGCCCAGGCCAGGAACATGAGGAGAGCAGGAGACTTACTGATAATAAGCTTGTAGCCGAGGACACACCCCACTCCCACAGGAAGCTTGAGAACAGGCAGGGTGGTGTCCAGCCGAGGGATGGCTGGAGATTGTGGGGGACACAGTCCTGCCTCGGAGGGGAAGTGAGTAGGTGTGGGCATAGAGGTCTGCTGGGGGAACATGTCCTGAGTTCAAGGCCCCTGTGGGGCCTGCCCAGGGTCCACTGTACTTGTCCTGGGGCCAACCACACTAGCCATAGGCAGTGATGATGTTAACACCGATGACTGCGCACTGAGATGCAGCTCTTGAGTTCCCAGTTTACCAGGTCGAGGGCTGTGTCAGCACTGCCGACCGTGCCAGCACAAAGGGTCGGCCCACTGCCTGCTGGACCAGCACTCGGGGTCTGTCACAGCATCCAGACTGGAGCCAAAGAGCTCTGTCCACAGACCCAGGCCCAGGGGGACGTGTCCACAGCGCCCAGCACCAGGGGACTTATCTACAGTGCCCAGTACCAGGTGCACCTGTCCACAGTGCACAGCCTCAGGGGGACCTTTCCACATGACCCAGGGGCAGTTTGCTGATAAACCATGCAACTCAGCACAGTGGATGCTGCTGGAGGACCATGGACTCAGGTTTCCAGTCAGGACTGTCACTCTCCCTCACAGCACTTAAGTTCATGGGACTTCTTCACAGCGAGGACACAGGACAGTGGGTACACACAGCACAGAGCCCATTGAGTTGTCACAGTGAGAACACACATAGGAAAACAGCCCTTCAGCAGGACACTCGGCTTTTCTAGGAGGTGTCCCCAAGTTAAAACAGAATCCACCAGGCCGGAGCCTAGACGTGCAGGACAGACACGTGTCAGTGCCCCAGCAGAAGGGGAAGGCTCAGCAAACAAGAGCCAACCTACAGCAAGAGGAGGGACAATGCAGGTTGAGGGCAGCCTGCTGCGAGGGGGGAACAATGAAGGTAAGGGTCAGGCCACAGCAGGAAAGAAGACAACGCAGGTGAGGGCCAGACCACAACAGGGAGAGGAAAACGGAGGTGAGGGCAGCCTGCAGCAGGAGGGCCAATACAGGAAGGGTCAGTCTGCTGCCAGAACAGGGAACCTGGACAGCTGAGGGTCAGTCAGTTGCAGGAGAGAAAACAGGGCCTTCCCCAGACACGTGGCTGGTCAAAGGGCTGCAGCCAAACTGACTGGAGATCAAACGGAGCTGGGCTTTGGCCCTGCCCCCTGACCCCTTGGTGGTCTGTGACATCTTGGATGTCCACCACCCTCACCTGGGACTCAAGTGAATGGTGATGCCCACAACTCTGTGGGTCCACCACTCTGACCCGGGACTTCAGTGACCTGGGACTCTGAGGTGACTTGGGGTGCCTTGTGTGTCTACCACCTTAACCTGGTATTCTGCAATGGCCTATGATGGTCTGAGGCCCAGGGCCCTGAACCTGGCCTCTGGGTAGCCCATCAGCCATGACCTCTTCAGTGATCTCTCATCTCTGACCCTGACAGTTCCTGACCACTGATGGCCAGAGCACTGATCTGACCTCCTCAGAGGCCATGACCCCTGACGTCCATGAGCCCAGCACCCTGACCTCTTCAGCGGCCATGATCTGTCAGCTGTTAGCTCAGCACCCTGACTTCCTCAGTAGCCAAGACCCTGACAGCCATGGGCCCAGCACTCCGACCTCTTTGTCGGCTGTGACCCCTGATGGCCCAGCACCCTGACCTGCTCGGTGGCCATGTGATCCCTCTCGGTCAAGCACTACGACCTCCCTGGCAGCCATGACCTGAAAGCTGTGGACCCTGACCTCCTTAGCAGCTGCGGGCCCAGCACCCTGACCTCCCTGGTGGCCAAGACCCCTGACAGCCGTGGGCGGAGCATGCTGACCTCCTCGGTGGCCACGACCCGCTCAGCCAGCCACAGCCCTGAGCACTGCGAGGGGCCCCGCTAAGCTCTGAGCCATGAGGCGTGTGCTGGTGGACCTTTACCTAAGCACTTCCTTACTGGGCCTTTTGGACTTCTTGGCCGTCTCTACTGGCACAGGCACGACTTCGGGCACAGGCTCCTCGACGGCCGTGTCCTCGCTGCCCAGGAGCGCTGCCTGCTGAGAGAAATCCATGTCCTGCATGAACGACATGCTGCGCTTCAAAGCTAACAGCCGTTCCTAGAAGCAGAAAGGACAGAGCGCACGCCCTTTACTCTCCCTCACAGCAAGGCGTGCTCATGGGATGGGTGGGCTCTCACCTGGCCAGCGCTGTGGCCGGGGGGGAGGGGGGCTGCACCAGAGGGAGAGGGGGGCTGGCTCCCCACAGCAAGGCGAATTCATGGGGTGGGCGGGCTCTCACCTGGCCAGCGCTGCAGCCGGGGGGCCTGCACTGAAGGCTTGGGATCTGCCCCTCACCTCAAGGACAGTTGGGCCCAAGGACATGGCCCGCTCGCATGCACCCTGCTTCCCTGGACAGAGGGGCCACCTCAGGAGCTCAGAACAAAAGGCTCCAAGACACACATAGATGGCTCAGGACACTGTCCAGGAGAGACCACACCTGGATGGGCCAGGACAGCAGCCACACGGGTTCACACCAGGATGGGCCAGGCAGCAACAGCATGGGACCACACCTGGATGGGTCCAGCACAACTGTCACATGGGACCACACCTAGATGAGCCCAGGACAGTAGCCACGTGGGATCACAACTGGATGAGCCCAGCACCGGCATGGGACCACATCTGGATGGGTCCAAGACAGCATCCATATGGAATCGCACCTGGATGAGCCCAGTACAGCTGTCAAATGGGACCAGGACGGTGAAAGGTCACATAGGACCACACCTGGAATGGCCCAGGCAGGTAGCAATTTGGGACCACGTTTGAGGGCTTGCTGACTAGCCCTGAGCGGCAAGGCAGCTGGATGGTGAGGGTGCGGAGGAGAACACTAGCAGGAGGCAAGAGCCTGGGCTGCTACCAGGAGAGGGGGAGGAGGGACCGCTGATGGACGTGACCGAGAGCAGAAGGGTGCAGCTGGCCCAGCTGGGCAGCCAAGGTCCCTTACCTTGCTCATCATCTTGAAGCCTGCGTGCAGGATCTTCTTGGCCAGCTTGTAGTACACAGTGTCTGGCCTATTGTAGGTCATGGCGTTGTCACACATGAGCTTGAAATCGGCCTGCAGAGAGAGAGAGAGTGGCTTGACCAGCTGCAGCACTCAAGGTGCACTGAGGAGGCCAGATGGCTGGGCCAGGGTCCCAGCAGGCTCCAGGGGGAAGAGGAGAGCCCACAGCGGCCTGCTCCTCGGTGTCAGCGTGCAGGGGACACGGGAGACAAGCTGGCTCAGATCTGTGACCCCGCGAGGCTTCCAGGGAGACAGCGCTTCCCCCATCTCTCATTTCTCAGCCTCCGCTCGGGGAGCCAGGCCCAGCATCGGGCTTGGGGAGGGAGTGGGGTGAGCAGGGCGGCTGGGGAAGGGCAGCAGAGTGCACAGACCGTGGGCTGAGGCCTTGTCCACAGCCACCATAACACAGAGAGAAAGGCTCTTCCAGAACCTTCTGGACAGCATACAAATGGAGAGCAATCAAGATCACAGGACTCTGCTGAGCATTGCTCAGTGACGCCTGCCCTCTGAGCTGGGACAGCATGTGGCACAGGTAACACAGGCAGGCCACGTTCTGTCCTAGCTGACCTGCTGCAGGCATGGTATAACACCTCACTGCTGGCCGTGGGTCCGAGTCCCCACGGCAAGAGGCTGCTGTCTGTCATGCTGATCAGTGTGCTGGCTCTGGATTCAGGGTATGCACTGAGGACAGGGGACAGAGGACGATGAGACGGCCCTGTACCTCGCGAGTGGTTGCAGGACTGACGGCATACGGCTGGACATCCCAGGCAGTACGAGGTCACCCACACATCACTGCCCATGCTGTCACATCTCAAGACGTGGTGAGATGCTTGCTCACACACATGCCCTCCTCTTCCTCAGTGCACTTCAGGGGTATGAAGTGTTTCTAGATCTGAACTACCATCAACTGCAGAGACATGAGCAAAGACTCAACTCTGTGAACAAGTCTCCAACCACCAACAGCAGACAGGAGAGCCAGGTTTCTCACAGTGCCCTCCTAAGCCAAGTGACCACTGTCCTCCAGGTGATGACACACCACCACCATGTCCACAGAAGCACAGCCCAGACTATCCTCCAGGTGACCACACTGCCCGCATCACACCACCACGTTCCCGTCCACAGCAGTACAGCCCACAGACTATCCTCCAGGTGACCACACTGCCCGCATCACACCACCATGATATCCACAGCAGTACAGCCCACATCACACTACCACCACGTCCACAGCAGTACAGC